GGCTTGAACTCCAGACTGCGAGATTATGACCTGAGCTGAAGTCATACACTCAACCGACTGAGCCACCCAGGCGCCCCAACCTTTATGAGTTTCTTTATGGTATGCCGCAAAAAAGTAGCATACAGTTAATTGTATAGTTCTTAGCTGAAATATACTTATCTTGGTAAAACCAGCTTTGCAACTGACCAAGTAATGCATTTTACAATGAGAATTTTTGAAAAGGTTTTTTAAAGACTCTGTAAATCTATTTTTAAGTAATCCAAGAAATGAGTAAAGCTTCTCTTTTATACTGAAACTTAATTATATTCTGCCTTTAAAAAATTAACCATTTGATTTATTTTTTATTTTTTAAATTTTATTTATTTTGAGGGGGGAGGGGTGGCGAGACAGGGAGAGAATCCCAAGCAGGCTCTGCCCAGATAGCGCACAGCCTGACATGGGGGTCGGTCTCACTAACTGTGAAATCACGACCTGAGCTGAACTCAAGAGTTAGATGCTTACCTGACTGAGCCACTGAGACGCCCCCTTAAAGTTTACTTATTTATTTTGAGAGGGGGAGAGAGAACAAGCAGGGGACGGGGAGAGAGAGAGGGAAGTGACAATATAGTACAGTGCCAACAACAGAAAGATGTGCCATTGGGTGAAAGAGAGAAACCCACTCTAAAGTAAATCCTCTGGTTAGTTGTGTTCTTTTTTTGTCAGTTACAGTATATATGGTTTTCAAAGACAAATCATTTTACATAGCTTATTCATTATAATGAGAAGCAGTGGGCCCTTCCATCAAGAAGTGGGATATAATTCTCTCATTAAATCTGGGCTGGCTTGGGGCGCCTGGGTGGCGCAGTCGGTTGAGCGTCCGACTTCAGCCAGGTCACGATCTCGCAGTCCGTGAGTTCGAGCCCCGCGTCGGGCTCTGGGCTGGTGGCTCAGAGCCTGGAGCCTGTTTCCGATTCTGTGTCTCCCTCTCTCTCTGCCCCTCCCCCGTTCATGCTCTGTCTCTCTCTGTCCAAAAATAAATAAATGTTGAAAAAAAAAAATTTAAAAAAAAAAAAAATCTGGGCTGGCTTTCATGACTCGCCTGTGATCAATAGAATGCATTGAAATAATACTGAGTAATTTCTGCCTCGATCTCTTGGGAAACTTGCTCTTCAGGTAGTCTCTTAAAACCCAGCCATCATTCTTCTGGAAGCCAAGCAAATGGAGAGGCCATAAGGTACTCCAGGAGGCAGCCCCCAGAGGAGTTTTCAGACAACAGGCAGCATTAACCACTACCCATATGAATGAGTCGTCTTGGACATTTAGCCTAACCTTCAGATGACTGCACATGTCAGATATCACAACAGCTAACTACCTGCCTAGTCAAGCCCTTCCTGAGTCTCTGACCCACAAAGTCATGTTTTGGGTCACTCAGTTTGGGAGTAATACATTATGCAGCGATAGGTAATCAGGCCACCTGCCTAAGGCCAAAGTCCCAGTTCTAAGAAATAATCTACCCCACCCCCACCCGCATGCCCCACCCGAGTTTCTATTTGGACAAGTGGAACTACCACTGGGAGGACTGGTGAATGACAGAGGCCTCCCGTATGGAGACTTGAGGATTAGGGTTAAAGGCTACGAGTGATTTTGTGATACCGGCCTGATGCCCTAAAAGGCCAGACTGAACCAGCTAACTCTGAGGATACCTCAATACAGACTTGGGGACCAGGACATCCCAGCCGCCCAGAGGACAGCACAGGGACCCCAGAGTGTAGATTTAAGGTTCCTTCTCGATCTCACAGTCAAGAAATCACGTGAGGTCTTTCCATCCCCCACCCCCATATACCTCCCTCCTGTGATATCTGGGAGAAGAACAAGGAAAAGAGGAAGAAATATGAATGGCTGAGCATTTAAGTGAAATACTGAATTACTTAAATGATTACACTTTAAGAGAAGATCCTGAGATATAACTGACAAAATTAAGTTAAATTGCACGCTGCTATTGAGGAAGATTATGTTCATTAGAGGAAATTAAAAAGCCACTTACAGTATTTTAATGTTTGATCCCACTATACTTACGTACCTGTACAGAAATAGTTAATTTTTAAAACAAGATACTTATCCTGATACAAGATTTTAAACACTAAATGTTTACTGGTTATAACACTTGTTGAATGTATCCAAATCACGAGATACAGGTCAGGTTTTCTTTATCTAGAGGGTTTAGAGTATACTAACAAATTAAAGTCTAGTAGAAAATGAATATGAGAGCTGATAATGACTTTTGAAATAGTTATGTCTTACTAAAGGATATGCCCCCTGGTTGCTTGAATTATTTAAACAAAGTGCAAGAGCAAAATTAAAAACAATCCAGAATCAGGGGCACCTGGGTAGCTCGGTCAGTGAAGGGTCCGACTCTAGATTTTGGCCCAGGTCATGATCTCACGGTTCATGAGTTCCAGCCCCGCATCAGGCTCCATGCTGGCTGAGTGGAGCCTGCTTGGGATTCTCTCTCTCCCCCTCTCTCTGCCCCTCCCCAGCATGCTCTCTCTCTCTCTTTCAAAGTAAATAAATAAATAAATAAACAAATAAACTTTAAAAAAAATCCAGATTTTAATTGATCATGCTTGTCACTGATAATAGCTGCCAGTTGTTCAACAGCAGTTAAATAACAACCTTTTATGTTCATTCTCTCTCTTTCTTATTTTGACCAAATAAAGCATTCCATTTTACAGAAGAAGGTGCTGCGGCTGAGAGACATTAAACTCGCCCTAGGTTACAAGGCTAATAATTGTCAGAATCAAGTTTCAAACCCAAGTGTATTTGGTCTCAAACTAGGATTATTGTGTGTCTATTACAACTTGATATCTTCTCATTGTTATCGCCATTAAGATCTGTATTCATTCTATACATTTTTAGCTTTTAAGGTTGCACAGACATAACCTCTAAGCATCCTCAGAAAATGAAATATTGGCAACAGCAAAGCATGATATAGGGTTAAAATGGAAAAAAAAATTTACAAAGCAGAAACACTGTAGCTCTTTTTTTTTTTTTAATGTTTACTTATTTTTGAGAGACAGAGAGAGACAGAGGCAGAGCATGAGTGGGGGAGGGGCAGAGAGAGAGAAAGAGAGAGAGGGAGACACAGAATCTGAAGCAGGCTCCAGGCTCTGAGATGTCAACACAGAGTCCAGCCCAGGGCTCCAACCCACAAACCATGAGACCATGACCTGAACCGAAGTCTGACGCTTAACGGACTGAACCACCCAGGCACCCCAGAAACACTGTAGCTCTTAAGCACCATGAAAGGTTACGAAATCCATGGCACTGTAAAATATTTTCATTGTAGGGTAATGGGAGTTAGCAGAAATTAATAAAAGTAGTAGAAGTAAAATAAAGGACAGATAATTTTGTTGTTGCTGTTAAATGAATAGTTTAAAAAGTTGGTATGTTTGGAGGTGTCCCAGCCCGAGTGCAGAGTTTTCACTTTAGAAAATGCTACTAATGGCAAGCAAACTGCATTTAGTATTTTTTTACAACTACCTCTGCAGGCTTCAGTATTACACAGAATAAGAAAACCATTTTGCTTTTTTCCTTGTTAAAAATTCATAATATTGGAAAAACACTAAATTCAGAATGTTTACAAAAGAAACTAAGAGGGAAAAACGGCCCTCCATAGAGTCAGTCATAAATATTTGTTGGGTTGATTTTTATTTGGAGGAAAGTGCATTTTCATTTTTGGCTAATCTCTTCTGAGAATTCTATTTCTATAAATAATTGATTTACTTTGCTGCGCCAACAAATTTGTATAGATTTTTATGCCTTTGCTCCTGATGAACCTCATGCTAATATGAAATCTTAAATTTATTTGGCATTTTCTATGTCATTATTGAAACACTGATTTACAGCTGCACCATCCAAAAAAATAATCATGTTATGATTCCCTCCTAGTTAGGGAATGAAAATAGATCCCATTGGCAATATAGGATAAGATTGCCTTAAGTGGTTTCTGGAGAATTTACTTGGGTTTTTTTAATCTGTTAATCTGATTATATCATTTATATTGATGGCTCCAAAAGAGGAAAAGAAATAAGACTCAAATGAAAAGAAAAGGAAGGCTCCTGTTATAAATACAATCTTGAGTAGAAAAGATTTGCTACAAAGGATTACAAAGAAATAGGCATCCGATGGCAAATAAAGGGGCAAATTATATATATAGTATGTAATAAAAACATGTAGTAATGTGTAATGCATCCATTCGGTTGACATATTTGTTTATATAATAAGTAGTAATATATATAAAATAAAATGTATATCTGTCTATCTATCTAATCCATCCCTTTATTTGATATTGTACGTCTATCATTTTGGGTCAAGAGGTGCTTGGCTGGCTCAGTAGGAAGAACATGTGACTCTTTATCTTGGGGTCATGAGTTCAAGCCCTTCGTTGGGAGTAGAGGTTAAATAAATGAATAGATAAAAACTTTTTAAAAATGAAAAATATATAAACAAATGATATCAAGAATATTCACCTAAACGTTAATAGAAGTCGCCTGCAGATGGCAGGATTCCAGGTGATTTTTATTTTTTTCTTCATCCTTTTCTGAGTTGTTATTTTCACAATGACTGTGTATATTTTTACAAAAACAGTAAGAGATTTTTCAGAAACAAAAAAACCAGAAATTTTGATTACAGATAGGAAACTACACTCCATTCTAAATTCCACATCAATCAATCAAACAAGAAGCACACACTGAATCTGTGTGCCCAACACATAGATACAGTATCGTGTTTTCTTCCAACTCCAGTTGTTTCTTCAATGAGCTCCATAGCCAATTCCACAGCAACATTTCTCAGCAACTTACTAACATCATATCTTCCCAAAACATCAATTTTAGTTTTTATAAAATAGAAAACCGTCTTCCCGTTTTCATAATTAATTTGCTTATGTAATGCTTCACCCAATTATAACAATTACTATAATAAGTATAACAGGTTGGTAAGCACTAACGAACTCAACTTACTTAATAGGAGCAGAAGCGTGTGGGTGGTTCAAGTTGGTTTCCCCAGGAAACACACTGAAATGAAGATTTGAGTACAGGCAGTTCATTGATAATTGTTGTCGGGAACAGCACACACATGAGAGTGAAGTGGGAAAAGCTCATAATTGGGCAGAGGGAGATCGGCAGTGTGGTAACGTCAGAGGCACCCACCTATTCCTGGAAGAACTCTGGAGCTGAGATGGCTCTTCAAGTTGTCTCAAAACAGTGTGGAAACCTTTAGGCTCCTATATCCACTGGGTGGCCATTGGTTGTAATGCTGCCCCTAGAACAGGGGTATAAACTCAGGTGAGGAATCTTCCTTCTTCCAAGGGCAATTCCTGGAGAGGGGTTCAGCTGTGAGCCCCTGACATTCCAACATTCCTAACAGTTGAAAGAATAGTGTCTCTGTCCTGAGGGGTGGTAATCGGGGTCGCATCCCAGAGCAACCACCGTGGTCCAACTGACACAACTCAGACCATTTGCTTCATGTGATGTATTTACCCATAGGGGAACAACTCCCCCAGGATTGTTCTGGATGTTGTTTTCTAGAAATGTTTACAAGAGGAAAGAGAGGGGAGCGAACCATATCTGCCACGATTGCAGCTCATTTCAAGGTCACGTCTGATAGCCATGATCTCTCTACTTCTCATTCTAGATTCCCCTTGACCTCAGCTAACTCCTCTGCAGCCCCAGGTGACTTATCTTGTAAGGTGACACAGACCTTCATCCCTGGGTGGTCTGCGTCCCTTGTCACCATACCCTTCTCAGACTGTGACAGTTACACTTGTTCATTTATCATTAAAACTGAACAGGGGAGCACCAGAAGACATGCCAGTGGTCTTCCGAGTGTGAAACATCTTCTTTTCTACTGCAACTGCATAAAGTAAGCACGGTTTTCTCCTGATTAGTAGGTTCAATTAACCTCTAGTATGTTGATTCTTTTTTTCTCTACTAATCTATTGGCAGGAGGTGCCCTAAGTGACTAGACCGCATTTGCAGCTTAAAGGTTAGTGGGACTTATAATACGCCTCCTAGTGGCGGCACTCCCCTTTAAGAACCAGGACCTCCAGATGCTCCAAACCTAGAATTGAGGGGCTGGGAAGTGCAACCTCCCCTCTCCCAAGTAGGTTGCTGAGGGCAAAGGCAAATGGGGCCAGTTTGACTTCTATCCCTTGGTTTTGTGTCTCGTTTAGTCAGTCTGCCTTCTGGAGATGTGGTAGTATAGAGGGCCATTCATTTAGTGTCCTGGAATGTAGGGATCCATAGGTACAGAATATCATCTCCAGGCTGACACGTGAACTGCACCTTCAAAAGGCCATTCTATACTCTCTGAAGTCAGCAACTTCTGCATGATGTGGCATGTGAGAAGTCCAGTGAATCCTACAGTAATGCATTTGTATTGCTATAAAGTGAGTCTCTCAGTCTGAAGTGATGTTACACAGATTCTAGGTTTGTGATAAAAATGCTTAGACCCTCGGACTTCAGACTGTATTATAAAGCTGTAATCATCAAGAGAGTATGGTACTGGCACAAAAACAGACACACAACTCAGATCAATGGAACAGAATAGAGAACCCAGAAATGGACCTACAAACATATGGCCTGTTTCGAAGGGGCACATGCACCCCAATGTTTATAGCGGCACTATCGACAGTAGCCAAAGTATGGAAAGAGCCCAAATGTCCATCGACGAATGAATGGATAAAGAAGATGTGGTATATATATACAATGGAGTATTACTCGGCAATCAAAAAGAATGAAATCCTGCCATTTGCACCTACGTGGATGGAACTAGAGGGTATTATGCTAAGTGAAATTTGTCAGTCAGTGAAAGACAAATATCATATGACTTCACTCATGTGAGGACTTTAAGACACAGAACAAGAGAATGGAAGCAAAAATAATATAAAAACAAGGAGGGGGACTCATATTTAAGAGACTCTTAAATATGGAGAATAAACAGAGGGTTACTGGAGGGGTTGTGGGAGAGGAGATGGGCTAAATGGGTAAGGGGCATTAAGGAATTTCCTCCTGAAATCATTGTTGCACTATATGCCAACTAACTTGGATGTAAATTAAAAAAACTAAATTAAATGGTAAAAAAATAAAATAAAATAAGAAAAAAATAAGAAAAAATAAGATCAAAAGATACTCATTTGATCTAAATATATATTGTATACCAGTATATGGAGTGGAGAATAGATATGATCATTATAAAAACAAAATTAAAAGATTAACTAGGTACCCTTTGGATATACTTCATTAATAAACATAAATATATAGCAGCAGCCTACTGAGAAGAATTAAAGACGACCTAAATAAATGGAGAGTAATATAAAAAAAATTTCTCTGAACAATCATCAAAAATATATACTCAAGAGTAGATATTTGGAAAGGTGTCCTTAACATTTTAAGTGGGTGGGGAAGGAAATGCTGAGGTATTCAACAGTGTACATAGAATAAGATCCTTTTTGATTACAAACCAAAAGATCAAATATGAAAATCATTTTTTTCTAGTGCAATATACGAAAAACTATTAAATGTTTTGCTTTGGGAGGATGGAAAAAATGCTTAGGCTCTCTGATAGTATATTGCTGGCTAAGTCTTTGTGTACAGGAAAACAAACTTCTGTCCAGAACATGTTTGATTCCAGAGCTCCTGGGTGGCTCAGTTGGTTAAGCATAGGACTGACTCTTGATTTCGCCTCAGGTCATGATCTCACTGTGAGATCAAGGCTGGCAGTTGGGTTCTGTGCTGGATGTGGAGGCTGCTCAGGATTCTCTTTCCCTCCCCCTCTGTCCTGCCTCCACTTGTGCACCCACGCGCACTCGCTCACACGTGCTCTCCCCCCCACCTCAAAAAGGAACATGTTTGATTCCGGGAAAAATAATCAACTTGTCACCAAGTGTTGGATTGATCTCCCCGAGGGATGATGGTGCATCAGAAACTCAATTTGGTGTTGAGCTGACACTGAGCTGAGCTGAGCTGAGCTCGACTCTTGCTGGCAGGTTGATATTTGGCCTTGGTAAGTGGAGACCCATAATGTGGGGCCCATGCGTGCCTTCCATTGCTGCCACAGTAGCTCTTCAGTTCCCAAGCCAGTGTGCCAAGACGGGGGTGGCACCTTGCACAGGCTACTTGGCATCCACTAACCAGGTTGTTTAGTCGACTTGGTTTCCTTTGCCTCCTCCATAGCGGATGCTTTCCGGTGGGTGTCAGCACACAGTACAAAGATATTTACACTCCATGCCCCTTTCCATAGGTTCGACTGTATGCTTCTCCCTTAGACTTCCTCCTCCCTGATCTTCTAAACTGCTTTCTTCCATGCCCCCGCCCTATAGGCCCAACCATTTGTCACTCTCCTTGGGTTTATGCATATTCTTATCTAGGGCAATCTCTCTTACGCAAAGTTAATGACCAGGTGCACTAAATAAAACTCTCTCCAATGGATTTCCCCTCACTAAATGTCCTTCAGGGTCACCCCTGAGTTAGCCTGAATCCAAATTTTAACAATTCCGTCCTGCAAAAAATAAAAAAGCAAGCCACAGACTGTAGAAAATACGGACAAATCACGTCTCGGACAAAGGCTTGTATCAAAAATGTACAAAGAATTTTCAAAACTCAACAATAAGAAAAACAACCCGGTAAAAAATAGGAAACGTTTTTGTAAATTATTTTTAAGTTTATTTATTTACTTTGGGGGGGGGGGACGTGCGGGGGAGGGGCAGAGAGCGAGAGGGAGAGACAGAATCCCAAGCGGGCTCCATATGTCAGCATGGAGCCTGATGTGGGGCTCCGACTCATAAACCATGAGATCATGACCCGAGTCAGAAGCCTAACCAACTGAGCCACCCAGGCGCCCCCAGGCTGGGAAAAGTTTTGAACAGACACTTCACCAAAGAAGATATTCAGTTGCCAAATATGTACTTGAAAAGCTGCTCAATATCATTTGTCATTGGGGAAAATGCAAATTAAACTCACAGCGAGATACCACTACACATCCCTTAGGATGATGTTACAAGGGTTTGTGAGGATAAAGAGAAACTAAAATTCTATATATGGCTGGTGGGAGTGCAACGTGGCAGAGGCATTTTGGAACAGAATCTGGCCGTTTTTGTGTTTTTTTTTTAATTTTTTTTAACGTTTATTTATTTTTGAGACAGAGAGAGACAGAGCATGAACGGGGGAGGGTCAGAGAGAGGGAGACACAGAACCTGAAACAGGCTCCAGGCTCTGAGCTGTCAGCACAGAGCCCGACCTGGGGCTCGAACTCACGGACCCCGAGATCATGACCTGAGCCGAAGTCGGCCGCTTAACCGACTGTGCCACCCATGCGCCCTGACCCAAGACTTAGTTAGACATGCATTTAATTTCTACCCATCAGATGATTTCCTGTTTACACATTAAAAAAATTTTTTAATGTTTATTTATTTTTGACAGAGAGAGAGACAGACAGAGCATGAGTGGGGGAGGGGCAGAGAGAGAGGGAGACCTAGAATTTGAAGCAGGTTCCAGGCTCTGAGCTGTCAGCACAGAGCCCGACGCGGGTCTCGAACTCACGGACCGCGAGATCATGACCTGAGCTGAAGTCGGCGGCTTAACCGCCTGAGCCATCCAGGCGCCCCTGGCCGTTTTTTTAGAGTTCAACACATACTTACCAGATAACCCAACAATCCCACTCCTCGATATTTACCCAAGAAGGAAATGAAGATTTAGATTCGAACACAAAACCGTAATACATGTTTACAGTATCTTTAATAATAATCGCCTCAAATTGGCAACATCCCAAATGTCCTTCAATTAGTGAATCGAGGAACAAATTCTAATCATTCATGCAACAGAATACTATTTAGCAATTAAAAAAAAAAAAAAATGAACCACCATAGCAGCCAGAACGTGGGAGAATGTCAGAAAAATGTCAGAATGTCAGAATGTCAAAAAAAAAAAATCCAGATTCAAAAGGCTACATACCCCAGAATTGCATGTATAGAACATTCTGGAAGAGGTAAGAGTGTAGAAGCAGAGGGGCGCCTGGGTGGCGCAGTCGGTTAAGCGTCCGACTTCGGCCAGGTCACGATCTCGCGGTCCGTGAGTTTGAGCCCCGCGTCAGGCTCTGGGCTGATGGCTTGGAGCCTGGAGCCTGTTTCCGATTCTGTGTCTCCCTCTCTCTCTGCCCCTCCCCCGTTCATGCTCTGTTTCTCTCTGTCCCAAAAATAAATTAAAAAAAAAAGTTGAAAAAAAAATTAAAAATAAATAAATAAATAAATAAATAAAAAAGAGTGTAGAAGCAGAAAACAAATCAGTAGTTGCCAGGGTCTGAGAGTGGGGGGCAGAGGTGAGTAAAAAGGGGCAACACAAAGAAACTTGGAGGGGGGGAGTCACAGAATGGTTCTGCATCTTGATTTTGGCGGTAGATATGGGACTATATGCATTCATCAAAACTCATAGAAGTGTGTACCAGAGACAATGAATTTTATTGTATACAGTTTACCTTAAAAACCTAGAGATTTCCAGTTAAATAACAGTTGAGGCATTTGCTGGCAGTAACCAACTATTTGATCTTCCCCTGAAAACCCGCATCTTTAAATTTGTAGCTATATAATATAGACCATCTGTTTTAAAATAGCTTTCTCATGATGTCACTTTTAAAAATTGATGGGTCTAGAAATGTTTACTAGGGGGAAAAATTAAACTTGACCTCAAAGAGCATGTGTTAAATTGTATTTTTTTTCCCCCTTTCATACCTGGAAATACAAATTTAAGTGACGGATATAGAGAAAAATCTCTTTCATTTGTGGAATTGTCAAGCTCTCCAGCACCAAGCCCACCCAGAATACGGCAGGGGGCTGAGAAGGCAGGCCCCCTAGAGCAGGCCTCCCTGTCTTTCTGAGCGCCTGGCCTGCCCGTGTGGGGAGTGTGTGCTTGTTGGGAGGAGATCTCACACAGGCACAGTGCTCCGCACAAGCTGAGTGATGTTCAGGACTCCTTCGGGAACATGGGGAGTGGGCCTGGGGCTTAAGCGGTGGTTGCTGGCTGTAGGGTCCATTTAGTTGCTTCTTAGTAAGCCCTTAGGGGTGGGGGTTTGACGTTGCTCTTTTTTTTGGGGGGGGTGGATCATGTGGTCCTGGTGACTTTTTGTCCTCAGCTTGGTTTTGCTCCCAGTGTGTATCCTATTAGGAAGGCCTCACAGAGCAGTGAGACCGCAGGAGTGTCCTCCCCCCCCCAACATCCTGTAACTCACATGTTGTGGTCAATTCAGTTTTAGCATTTGGCAAGGGGGAGTGGGGAAGGGCAATGCATGAGGGAATCAGGGTGTTTTAGGGTGTCCCTGACATGACTGACAATGAGATCCCTAGATGGAGGATCCCCGAGGACAAGATCATGCAGTTTATTTTACATCGGTGCAAGATGCTCAAAGTACACTTTGAACACATGAAATATGTGTTAGGATTCGGAGAGAGGAACCCAAAGGTGATAAGGAGCAGGCTTATTCAAGGAATGGGAGGCAAGACGAAAGGGATAGCACGTTGTGGACTGAGAAGGAAATTTCAGAATTCCAGAACTTGGAAGGGAAGCAAGTATTTTAGGTTGCTAAGGAGGAGTGGGGCTGGAGGTTGCTGGAGTTAAGGGAGCCGAGTTAGGAGATTAGGGTACCGACTGGCTCATCACGTCATCAGTTTGTTTGTTCATTCATTCATTCATTCAACAAATAGTTCCTGCTGAACACTATTGGCCTTGGATGCATGGCAATGAACAAGTATTTTCTGGTAAATACAGGGATGGTAGCTGGGAGACCTAACAAACAAGTAAGAAAGGCTCTAAGACAGTGATTCTAAATTGAGATTTCCTGGGTTTTGAATCCCAGATCCAGACACTTAATAACAATGTGACTTAATAAATAAATTACTTAATCCATTTGTGCCTCGCTTTTCTCATCTGTCCAATAAAAATATTAAGTGCCTACTTCATAGGATTGTTGTGCTTAATGTGGTCATTAGCATAAAGTTTTAGGACAGTGCCTGAAACATAGTAAGCACTCGGTGACTATTAGCTATTAAAAATGTGAACAGATATATACTTTAATGTCGGGTAGTGACAAGTGCTAGAAAGAAAAATAATTCAGGGAGGGGGATAGAGAGTGGTGGTAGGGCTGTTTCAGATCAGATGTGGAGAGGAAGATCTCTTTGGGGAGGTGACAGATGAAAAAGGACCTGAATGGTGTGGGAGAACAAGTCATGCAAAGGTCTGTGGGAAGAGTATTTCAGGCAGCAGAAACAAAGGCCCTGGGGCAGGAGAGATTCAAGGCCTAGGAAAGGTGGTGGAGAGTAAGACGCTGAAGACCTTTGTGATCCAATCCCTACCCCATTATGCTCCTCCAATTTACGCTTTTGGAAGACAAATCATCTGTGGGGGTCTGGTCACCTCCGGCAGGTCCCCTGGAGGGGTATGTGAGATGTCTGTGTGACAAATTGAAAGTTTTAGAGATAGGACAACTTGAGCTTAATGGCAGGTTTTATATATATACACACACACACACATATGTATATGTATATATGTATATGTATATATACATATGTATATATACAAATGTATATGTATATATATATTACATATGTGTATATATAATATATACATATATATTATATACGTATATCTACCTAAAATGCTGCTGGTCAAGGGGTCCAGTTAGAAAGTATTTACAGCTCCATAGGCCTGTGTGTGTGTGTGTGTACATAAAAAATATATATGTAGGGGCGCCTGGGTGGCACAGTCGGTTGAGCGTCCGACTTCAGCCAGGTCACGATCTCGCGGTCCGTGAGTTCGAGCCCCGCGTCGGGCTCTGGGCTGATGGCTCAGAGCCTGGAGCCTGTTTCCGATTCTGTTTCCCTCTCTCTCTACCCCTCCCCTGTTCATGCTCTGTCTCTCTCTGTCCTAAAAATAAGTAAACGTTAAAAAAAATTAAAAAATATATATATATGTATATATATACACATGTATCTAGATACATGTATATAAATGTATCTATATACATAAAATATAGTCATACACTAGGTTAAAACCCTATATATGTTTTAAAGACAAGTAATAAAATGCCTGTAACTATGCATATATTAACATCCCATAAAGGCCTGGAGTAAAATGAGTAAATATTGACACTAAGTGGCACAAATAAGATTATAAATAGCTTCATGTGCATTAAGATTTGGCCTCCAAATGAGGCAGAGAAGATTTTGCTGCCAAAGCGCTGCAAAAAACTTTTGGATTTTCAGCGCTTTTTGAATTTTGGATAAAGGATTGGGAACCTGTAATAATTTCCTCCTATGGGCCATCTATAGGATCAGAACTCTAGGGAGCAACATCTAAAAGACACAATAAAAGCCCAAATGGAAAAACCTGTATAACAAATAGCCTTAACCACTGTTTTTAAAATATTTCCTAAGTATAAACCCTTAAGATATTCTACTCCGGATATCTTACAACTCTCCTCTGATCGGGACCGATCAGAACAGCGCAGGATTTTCGTAAAGGAGAAAATTAGGAGTGGCAGGAGCCCCTGAGGTCAGCCCAGGGCCTATGCGACTTTACAGAGGTGTTGGTACACATTTATGGCACTAAGTTCCCGGGGACCAGAACTACCTTGCACATAGAAGAAAACTTTGCCAGTTTTTCCCTCTATTCATCAAATTTTGCTTCTCAGGTAAACATGCTTGGAGTAAGAGTGGAGTTAAGCCTCAGTGTTAGTGTCATTATGAAAGTTCCCAGATAGAATCTTCATAGTTCTTCAGAGCACATAGAAATATTGCATTTATCCTCAGAAACATCTGACATCTAGAAGGTAACAACAAAGGTACCAACAGATACAATCATAGTAACCTGAACAATGTTCCCCTTTCAGTCAACGTTTATGAATGAAATCTTTAGTGCCAGAAGCTTCGAAACGATCTAAACTGCAACCCGTACCTGAGTTCCCCAGGTCCTAGTGAGCAGCCTGCCGTGGACCCCTGGTCCGCGGCCCCGGGGTCCCAGCTCCTCCCTCCGGGGCTGGGGGCGGCTCTCCGCCCGCGGGGCTCCGGCCACCAGGGGGCGCTGCGGCCCCCCTCTCCCGGGAGCGGCCGAGCCAGCCCGGTGGGTGTTTCTCTCCCTCTCGCGCTCTCTCCTCCCGGCCTCACATCCGGGTCTGGAGCGCGGCCGCCGCTGTCAGTGCTGGTGCGGGCGCGTCGGGGGCCGGGCCGGGGCGCAGTAAATGGCGGCGGAGGGAGGCGGAGCGGCGGCCACGCTCAGCTCAGAGCCCCCGAAACTTTAGACTCGAA